TAAGTATGTAAGATGTTTTTGTGTTCATAAAGGGACGTTTTTAGACTTTAAATTCAACGGTAACTAGTGATTTCGTAGTGCCGAGTTGTTGTTATAAATCATATTAGATTTTTAGCTGTAAGTACACTAAGCGGGTAAAGAACTCATTTCAATCAGCGATTAGATTTAAATAATGCTAGATGGTGGTTGCAGCGTGCGAGTGTGCTCCCGTCTAAGCGTAGCTATAATAACCCCTTATTTTTTATATTTTTTCCTACCTAAGCTAATATCCTTGAGAGGCTATTTCAGCGTAACCTTAACTAGTAGGTGAGCTCACGGGGCTCAAACCTGACGACGTTGCTAACACGAACCCTAGCAAGAGCAGTGCTTCGCAGAATCCACCACCGGATCGGAAACGCGACTCGGTGTGAAGATCCGGCGAGAAACTCAGTGGGCTGTATCTGAGGGTTAATTTACTCGTCGAGCCCTTCGTCGCAAGCGACGGGTTCGACGAGAACGATGACCGGAACCCTTAAACTACCAGCGAATAGATATGGTAAGAAAAATCAAGTGTGCTTCTTATAATTATGCTCGATGTCGGTAAAGTGAGGCGCGCGTATTCGCGCTATTGCTCAAAGATTTATAGGATGCCCAGTGGGACCAGTTTTGCCGCACGGGTGGGTACCACCGCCCCGCCTGTTTCTGCCGTGAAGCAGTAATGCGTTTAGGTTTGAAGGGTGGGGCAGCCGTTGTACCTATGCTGAGACCTTAGAACTTATATCTCAAGATGGGTAGCGCATTTACGTTGTAGATATCTATGGGCTTCAGTAACCATTTAACACCAGGAAGGTTGTGAGCTACCCATCTAAGTAATGAAAAAAAAAACGTAGTATCTTTATGCCTATGAGTGTGAGCTGCTCAATTGCAAATTATCCGGATTCCTTGAGCGCTTAAGACATGGAAAGTATTCTAGCTTTGTAATCTAGTTAGAGACTTGGAAAGTATAAAATAGCTTCGTAATCTAGTTAGAGATTTAATGAAGGAAACAGCAATTTGAGAGTTGCGTAATTCTGTCACCGTCAGAACGGCTGTACTGACGTCGACATAATTTCGAAATTAATAAAAAATAAAATAAACCTTTCACACACGCTATTAACAATCACTTTATAAATTATCAATGTCACATGAAACAATGAATGTGACGAAAAATAGGAATTTGCATTGTCACGATTTTGTAATAAAAAACTATTTGCTATTGATAAGCTAAATTAAATAAATTTTGTGTATTTCTTCTACGTAAACGTACCAAGGATTTGTTGTGAATGTCAAACGTCATTGCGGGAAGTGGAGAAATTTTCCTATCTCTTTTGTATTTGAATATTACTTGTTACGATTTTCTTGTTCATTAGTAAAACTGTAACGCCAAATTTTTTTATCTATCTATGTAGTGTACAATTCTGGAATCTTTTTATTATCATGAAAGAAAAAAATCAGTAACTTTCAATTTAATTTCATAATTTCAATTTAAGCTCTTCATTATTTAGCATGGACCGACTTGTGACCATGAATTTTCATTTTACATAAGTATTGACATTGACATGTGCAAAGAAAACCTAACAAAAATCATCTATTCCGTGCAATGACCCGCCTGACACTCGGTGACTACTGGAGGCTATGGACTTCACAAACATTTGCTCGAAACATCAATTGAATTGCATAACGGCCCTCCCACCTTGTAAATTGGAAAGGACGATGGTTTTTAGGAACTAGCCTGGCTATTCCTGGCCAGGCTAGTGCCAGCACGAGCGGGATTACAATACGCTCTATCACCAGTAAAAGCTAGTGGCATTTGCACTATGCTGGCTTAAGCCCACTGAGGTTCTGGCCAGATCTCATCGGATCCGATTCGATCGAAGGGTCGCGATTCCGATCTGGTAATAGATTTTGCGAAGCACTGCTCTTGCTAGGCCAGGCGATAGCACGCTCTCTCAGACAAAGCCCCATAAGCTTGCCTACTCGGTCAGTGAAACCAGAATAGCCCGTTGACTGTTAATAAGCTAGGAAAAAAGCTGGCTTAATACTAAGATAAAGCTGCTGCTGTAAATCCTTCAGTCGCTTTTAAGCCCTCCCTTGGGCTTAAAATGTTCATGTTTCGAAAGCTTCCCTTGTTGTATTAGATTAGTATTTGGTCAATTTAGAAATTTTATTTATTTATTATTTATTGCCCTTGCAGGCGGACGAGCATACATCCCGCCAGACGGTGAGTGGTTACCGTCGCCCATGGACGTTAGCAATGCCAGGGGCAGAGCCAAGCCGCTGCCTACCGTATAATAAATAATTGACATAAAAGTTTGCAAATATTATTGGATATTAAAGCAAACTGGTTTTAAAATTTAACGAGTACTAATCTCCCTTGACATAGTTTTAAGTAAACAGCCTTATTACGAATTCCCTTTCGAACGAAATCGAAGACATTTATGTCATTTGTATGATTTTTTTTACCTTTGCCTAGAATAGTACTACTTACTTCATCTCATCCCGTTCATGTTGTACCAGCGTACTGCGACGGCCAACCGGCATATACTGTTCTTATGATATATGTTAAGTCCGGGTGGTTATCACCTACCGCCGATATTCGCATTGTAATGCTATGGGCTCGGTAATAACTTTACATAAGGTGGGCCGTGTGCTCATCCAACTATTTCAAGAATAAAAGAATAGAAAAGTTGAACGAAACTTTGTATTAGCACTTATGTTATAGACAAAGCCATGGTGTTTCGATTAAAGATGAAACTAATGTCTCAGTATCGGGTATCAATATCAGTATTGTGCGCTATCAGTCGGTTAGTAAAAAGCCTAGTATTAACTGGTCCTAGTATGGACTGGTCCTAGTATTGACTAGGCGTTTGTATATTTCTAATGTGTATTATAAGACAGGTTATCTGATATTATTAAGCAATTACTAATAAGCTAATAGAGAGCACAATGTGAATGTACTTCGCTATGTTGAACGTTAATTTTTTTTTTTATTTTTTTTTTTTTTATTGCCCTTGTAGGCAGACGAGCGTACGGCCCACCTGATGGTGAGTGGCTACCGTCGCCCATGGACTTCAGCAATGCCAGGGGCAGAGCCAAGCCGCTGCCTACCGTAAGTTACCGTAGTAAGCCTACCGTAGTTAATACCAACTAATCACAATATTATCAGCATTTCATTAAGATAGACGCCCAGACGTCGATTCGAGGGCCGCGAATTATGTCAGGGCTTAAATACTCAAAAGATGACAGGTAACTACGTATTTGAGACGTTCACGTGATGATTTCCATGATGAAGACATGACATCGTTTTTTTTTCCCCTGCCTAAGCTGATAGCCTTGAGAGGCTCAGCGTAACCTTAACTAGTAGATGAGCTCACGGGGCTCAAACCGAAGTGATGCTAACACTGACCCTAGCAAGAGCAGTGCTTCGCAGAATCTACTACCGGATCGGAAACGCGACCCACTGAGAAGATCCGGCGAGAAACTCAGTAATAAAAATGCATGTGTGTAGTTCACACGCAGTAGAAGTAACATTTTCATCAAGTATTCTATCTCATTTTCTCGTAGGACAAACATACACATGTACGTATATTTTTGTCTCTTTCTGGTGTCACCTTTTTGTTTTATCATGTTTTTAATCTTGACATTGCTTAAGAAGTATCCACATCAAAACTTAAACTAATAAAATATATATTTGTTTTATTGTGCTCATCCTTGGCAACGTTGAAATTGATAGCATCACTGATAACTACTGTATAGAACACATCTTGACTTTAACATCAACTATTAAACTCATTATACTATTCTCGATTAGCAAAGGAATGAGTGGTCTGAAACTTATTTTTTTTAATTCTCGTGTGAACGCACCAGAGATATAATGTTGAAATATGAACCGCATTTTACAAAGGTTTTGTTCTCTTTAAATTATATAACGGTACTTACGATCCCTTATACTTATATAATAATGCTTACGATTGCTTCACGGCAGAAATAGGTAGTATCGGACCACGCACTTATGTAATCTGAAACATCACCATCGTTTATCACATTAATAAGGTTAAGGAAGGTTTTAAGAATTAAGGAGCTATGGAAAGATAGTGCAATTTCAACTGGTCGACAGAGAAATATTAGGAGTTATTGGAGATAGCCGAAGCCATACTTACTTGTATCAGTGAGACAGATTATTACCGTCGTCATGATAATCCGCCTTATCGTTGCCGCCGCTGACTACTCCCCGAATCCTGATCACGCAAGAGCCAGTCACCGTCGACGCCCTAGACACGTCCTTACGGATCCATCAGATCCAATAACCTTTGCATTAGAGGCCTTCAGCTCTAGCGCTAGGAGTAGGCTTAGGGACCCCGGTAACCGTACTCGTCGAACTCGACAAAGAGTTCTATAGCTCGCTGAGTTTCTCGCCGGATCTTCTCAGCGGGTCGCGATTCCGATCCGGTAGTAGATTCACTTGCGAAGCAACTGCTCTTGAGATGTTAAGTCTCCTTCGGCGGCGCTCGGGCAGTTGTTAGCATATCCCACCCCTCCTGGCTGAGCCTTTGCTCGCCCACCTGTCCTGGTGAAACTGGAAAGGCCTCAGGGCCACCAGTAATCCTACAATTATAAAAAAGAAGATGATTACCGCAAGGATCTTTTGCTTTATTGACTTAAGGTCTGAATATAATTGCCGACTGGGATTTAATTTGAAAGTTTTTTTACTAGCTTTGTATAGGTGAGCTCCCACTTTATCTGATAGTGGCCGTCACTATCAATCGTGGACGTCAGCAATGTAATACTAGTTTGAAGAAGTAAACCATAATATCTTCAAAATTCTCTAATCTAGTGACTGAAGGTCTGTATACACTTACCGTAGTTACTCAGCAAAGGGAAATCCACAGGCGTGCCAGTACATCCACGTCATGTAGATGAACCAAATATACAGTGTTAAAGTGCTTGTGTAGTGCATTACTAAATTGAATTGAAACGCCAAATAAAAAACAACATTTTACTAAGTACTTTTTTAACGTTACAATCTTATCAACTAGTCTACATAAACCGATATATATGTACGTAGATGCCTAGAGACGTCTTTTGTTTTAAATATTACAATGTCCTCGTTTTACCTACGATATGATAATAAAAAAGGTCATTAACCCTTTGAACTACGGGACCTACTTTTAATTATTAATATGTGTTTTTTTTGGAACATCAACACAACATGATTTATTGTTGTTTAATTTTGTATCAATCGTAAATGATTCTTTTGGGATTGTGTCGTAGTGTTTGTTTGGTTTAGAATTTTATCTGTCTTATCTTGTTACATTAAGTTTATTGTTTCTTTGTTATATGTTTCTCAAAGTTGTAGTATTATCCCTTATTACGTTTCTTAATTCGGTCTGATAGGGGGGAATGTTGCTTGAATTTCGTCCTATTAAAAAGCAATATTTTGCATCGAACTTACAGTATAAGTATAGTATAATCTTATATAAAGTATCATTGCTCGGAAACTGTACTTTAGACTGAGTTCTTGTTGCGAATATAAAATTTGAACAGTATACGAATTTCATTGAATAGGTCGTTTTCAATTTTGCGACCAAAAAAGTAACGATTTCATGAATTTAAACTTTCTCTAATTTTCCATTTTTTTGTATTTAGGCGTGTTCTTAATTAAAAAGTGCTTCATCCCAATCAAGTCAATCACTCATTTATTGATAATTTTATATAATATTCATTAATATTTTTCATTTTACACATTTGATAACGCCAACACGGATGACCATTTAAATAGGAACTTTTTAATTTATTATTCAATATTATTTAGTTTCACTTTGTTTCTTTTGACATGTTATTTATTTTATCCTTGAGTTTGTTGTCTCGCGAAGTTATATGTACCGATTACTTATGCAATTATGTAATTCAGTTAATCGTGTCTATGTCTTTCTCGAGCCGTAGACAAAATTAAAGCTACTTTTACGATTAATTATCGCGTTCATTATTGAAATAACATAACGAAAATAATGAATGCGAAATCTCGCAAATGTTGTTTTGATTTAACGATTTTTTGGTCTGATTTAGAATTAATTGCTTGATCGATTTTCTATCAAAGTACTGCTACCATGTTAAATAGTTACATTTCACATAATATTAAGAGGACATTTTAAATAGGGTGTTCTAACTGCGGTTCACAACCCATATCTATTACAAATATCGAAGCCATTTTATAATGGAGTATTTTAATGATCTTCGTGGATGGTAAAGTTCTAGTGCGTCTCTCCAATAGAAAATACATTTCTTTTTGAAAACGAAGACACTGCAATCCAAGCTAAAAAACGTCTATATTTAATACAATGACTTCCTATTTTACTATAACTAATTCATTCGATTCGACTAGCATTAATTTTTATTGTTAGAAATGACTCATCCTCGTTGTTATTCATAACAATTCATTTTAACCCATCAAGGCTTAAAAAAATAATTGTGTTCAGTGATGCCTAAAGCATGGTTGTAAATTAAGATTTGATACGATAAATTTGAAAATTGTAAAGCCGATTACGACACACACACACGCGTTTCAGTCAGCTCTCGACTACAATTTTAGCGTCAGCTGACAACGTATTATACAAATGAAAGAAGAGGTACAGTAACAGACCAACGCATACTATGAAGAATAAAATACAAAAGCACACAATACACTCCGAACAGAAGAGACGAACTCTGTCTATCCTATTGATTTGTCCCGGGTTGTCTACCGCTGAATAGTTCCACATTATTGCGGCCGAGGTTCTTCTGAAAGCAAAGGAAAATGTTATCAAACGTAAGTTTTTATTTATTTTTTATTGCTTAGATGGGTGGACGAGCTCACAGCCCACCTGGTGTTAAGTCGTTACTGGAGCCAATAGACATTTGCAACGTAAATGCACCACCCACCTTGAGATATAAGTTTTAAAATCTGAGTATAGTTACAACAGCTGCCCCATCCTTCAAACCGAAACGCATTGCTGCTTCACGGCAGAAATAGGCGGGGTGGTGGTACCCACCCGTGCGGACTCACAAGAGGTCCTACCACCAGTAAAAAAAGTCCTATCATCAGTAAGCCACCAGTGTTGCACGCTTCGCTGGGACTGTCGTTAAACCTATCGTTTAAAATTAAATGTTTTTTGTAATTAAATTCGAATTATGCATGCCTTAAATACGATTCACTTGAAATTTTGATGTTATTGACAATTTGGGGATTTTACAAGCATCAATGTATCGCTAGTGGCTGGCGATTAATTTTTGGAAAATATGTACATTATTTACACGAGATAAAAAATGAATTAATGTTGATCATGAATTCACGAAGTCACGTTAACGTCTCGTATTTTTGTTTCACGAGGCTTTCATTGCCTATGGTAATAATTATAGAGGTGCAAATAAAATGAGACGTACCATATGTGGATAATGACATAGTGGAATTGTTGCTAACTGATAATTACTTCGGTATCTCATCTGAATTGGCTCTCAAACAGTGCAATTGATGTGGTCTTCTTGTTCATTATTATTATGAATAAGCTCTTTATGCTTTATACTTTATTATGAATAAGCTCGTTGATATTATTTTTTTAATTGACTTATTAAGCCCGGATTAAAATAATAAGTATCAGGGTGTGTTGGAAATGTGTGTTGAAAATTAGAACTAAACTAAACCGGGCTATAGTAAATGGAAAACATTTACCAAAAATCTCGTTGATATTATTTTTCTAATTGACTTATTAAGCCCGGATTAAAACAATAAGTATCAGGGTGTGTTGGAAATGTGTGTTAAAAATTTAAACTAAAATAAACCAGGCTATAGTAAATGGAAAACATTTACTAAATTTAGCATAAAATTAAGTTAATTTTCATTTCGTCGTCGTTCGTTTTCATGCCGAGCATACGACCCTCCTGATGGTGAGTGATTACCGTCGCCCATGGACATCAGCAATGCCATTTGCAGAGCCAAGCCGCTGCCTATCGTTAAATCACGCGTTAAATAACCAAGGACGTCCTAGAATGAAAACATGAACTGAAAACTATTTCAAAATACCTAATAACAGAACAGTAATGAAATTTAAATTGTCAGTTTTCAAAACCGACATCTGATTATATACATTGTTTGTTTAGTTTGAGAGCACAGGTGCGCGGCGTTCCATACACAATGAACGAAATCAACATTTGTATTATAGAAAACATTTACAACACGACCTTGCCGTATACGAGACGTGGAACAATTTCGATCTGTTTGTTGTCACGAGCATTTAAACTTATAGATGACTAGCGACCCGCCCTCGCTTCGCTTCGGAAACATTAAAACACACATGAAACCAAAAAAAATAAATAAAAAAAAGTAGCCTATGTTCATCAGGGACAATGTCAGCTTCTAATGGAAAAAGAATTTTTCAAATCGGTCCAGTAGTTTCGGAGCCTATTCGAAACAAACAAAGAAACAAATCTTTCCTCTTTATAATATTAGTATAGAAAACAAATTATACTTCACTCGATAAAAGTCAGCGTGTGTAAAAGATAAATTCTCGAGATTCCTGTCTAAGTACTAGAAACTGATATTCCTATTATACGTTACCTATTACCGTAATTATCTGTGGTATTGTGAGTACCAACCATGTTGCTTATTTCTGCCGCAATATGATGGGTTTCAGTCTGAGCGTATGTAAGATCGTATGTGCTTGTTTTCGGAGTAAGGTAAATAATAAAAATATTAATTTTAAGTTCTATTCGAGGTATAAAGAAAATAAAACTGGAGGTTTCGCAACAGCCCACGGTCGAATGACGGTAATGTGCGAACTTATTGTGGTACACTTCATTCACGGTTGTTTGCATAAGAGTTAGTGTATTGCGCAAACGAATGCTCTGAGATTGTGGTCAATTATGATAAAAAAATATGTTATTTTTTGTACGTTATTACAAAGTTAAGTCGTACATTGTGTGCATTAGTCATTTGTACGTTACTACAAAGTTAAGTCGTACACTGTGTGCATTACTAATAAAAATCTTACGTTACGGACGTTTTTTCCCGGTTAGCGTACCCCTCCGCATCGTCCCATAAGGAACTTCGTTCCAAAACTTCGTTCGAATAAGGAAATAGGCAAGAAGCGGCTCTGGCATTACTAATGTCTGTCCATCCATCCAGCCATCGGCAACCACACATTATCAAAAGGATCATATGCTCGTTTGATTTGAAATACAATTAAAAAAAAAGAGCATTTCTGGCAATATGATAAGTAAATAAAGTTTCTGGATTTGCTTGATTTTAGAATAATATTCAGTGATATAATTTAGTTATTCGGATTTCAAACAGATTGAAATATTTCGAACGATCAACTCTCCAGCGACACACAGTGAGCCAATTAAAATAGGTACTTCAAATTTGATATCATGGACTCATGGTAATTGACATCAATAATGATTAATTAAAAACTGTACATCGCGCAGTTCCCTCATTATTCATTTCCATTAATTGACAGAGAGCCATTTTAGATGAATCGTGCCGTCAATTTGCGTGATTGAGATTTTTTTGTATTCTATTGTATTAATAACATAAAAAATATATATATTGAAAACAACGTATGAATTTGTTGTAAGTTGTGTAATAAAAAATATCGTCGCTTACCTTCATAATAAGTACGTAACATAAAATGAATTAGATCGCCTGTTAACTCCGAAAGAACTATATTCATTTTGCCGTACAAATGTTTGTCATCTTATCTCTTCACTCTTTATTAATTTTCACGAAGCGTCACTTCTGTTTACAATTTACATAATCACGAATTTTCCGAGTATTTTTGTTATCGACGGACGAAAGCAAACACGACCAATCTCGCTCTTACTTCGTAAACGTATGGCTTCAAGCGTGTCGACTTATTTCCACTATGCACACGTGTTGAGAAGCCTTCAATTGTTATCAAGCCGGTTGCAAATGATTAAAATACGGCTTTATCGGAACGAAATACCGGTCGTAATCGCGTGCGCCGACGTATTGTGCGGTTACGGTACGTTTCCGTGTGTACATCTTGCCAAAATTTAAAAATAGCTCAATGATTTTAAGTATGTGCGAATAGAACCGACATCGCGATATCGCGACATTATATATGACGTGTTGTTATGATGTAATTCAATATATATTGAACTAGCGGACTCGTCAGACGTTGTCTTGTGAATAAATGCATACACAAAAATTCATTCAACAGCGATCCCGCCGCTTAGTAGTAGTATAGATAAATAATCTAGATACAAACTGTAGTGCTATCTGCTGGGATAATTTGTGAATCTAAGCCATCCAGAGCGCAATCCAAATGCATACAAAAAACTTAATTCAAATCGGTCCAGCCGTTTAGGAACTTAGCGACATACACACGTACAGTAGAATTATACTCGTAAAGATTCTCGAATTCGAAGTCTGATTACACATTTTCATTCACTCCTATTTGATCTCTATCCAGCTATATTTACGCTTTACTGGGACTAATGCTAAATATAATACGATACGATGAAAATTTAGTTAATTGGATCATCTAAATATGTTCATGAGCAAGTTTACGAATTGCGGCGATCACTAGGGGGCCCGTGTGCCAAACAATAACGCAAACAAAAAAATCGGTTGTCTGTAAAGTCGGTGTACTGACGATAGTTGAACGTGACAACGTCATAAGAAAATACTGATGGAATGGTTTCATTGTTCAATTATCGCAATTATCGTTGCTATAAACAATTGACACCACATTCACTTTTCACTGAATTTCATACTTGACGAAAACATGTAAATGTATTATTGTATAGCAGCTGTCCACGCGGATGCATCGTTCACTCAAGTAGGAGAGAGACAGATGTCGAACGCTGCCGAACGCGGAGGCCGATTGTGCCACTTTGTCGCTCGTTGCGCGCTCTCGCTTGCACTTCAAGCCTTAAATGGAACGCCTCAGAGCGAAGTAGCGCCGCATGAGTCATGTTTTTTCGTGCGTGCAGCCGGCTCCATTGAATTATAAGACGTTGTCACGTCAAAAAATGACGTAGGTATATTTCGTGATAACGTTAAACACAATTTTGTCTCTCGTTCTATATAGAACTAACCTTATCGCTTCGTGTTTAGTACGTTTAAGAAATGATAAAGCGATGAACAATTCCTAATCTGGCGGCTTTCGTTTTTAATATCTGTCATAATAATATAATACGTGTAGTTCTGATAAGAACAACTCTTTGGTTTTGTTTATTGTATGATAGCACTAACTAATGTCGTTAAAAGATAAACTAGTGCAGCATACGCACATTGCGATAAACAAATGGATATTTTTTTCGAATTACATATTTTAGCATCTAAAAAAAAAGGTATTCATAATTGTAGCGATATTTATTTTGGCGATTCATATATTAATCAATTATCATATTAATATAATCATAATCATAATTTAAACGGCCGTCTGGTGTAGTGGTAAGTGACATGGTCACTACACAAGGGGGTCGCGGGTTCGAATCCCGCCAAGGGAAGATATTTGTATGATAAATATAAATGTCTTTCCAGGGTTATGGGTGTATATTAAATATATGTATGTGTATAATAAAAATATTATATTTATTTCCGTTATCTGGTACCTGTAACACAAGTTCTTTACGAACTTAGCACGGGACCAGTTAACGTGGCGTGATTGTTAGTAAATATTTATATTTATTTATATTTATATATCAATTACATATTACGTACACATGAAACGCGCTAAGGATAATTTTTAAATATTTTGCATAACACAACCGCAATCGGGTTAACACATAGGTCTATTGTGCATCGCTCATTGGATGATAAATTCTGTGGAGTCGTAACCTAATTGTGATACGCACAATGCATTATAGGTAATACCTATTCAAGTCACCGTATCAATGAGTATTGGTACTTATCAGTGAGTGACTTGTCCGATATGATATTATTCGATTAATTATGTAGAATGAATTGACGGGTAAACTGTAAGCCGAGAGCATGATTAGACGAATTTTATTAACACGTGTAAGACGATTACGTGCAATTTTTTTTCTTTTAGATTCCACGTTTAGTGTATTAATTAGGTATGGTTTGATAGAATTTTAATTATTTAACGGTACATACAATATACATAGTATAATAAAGATAGATAAAAACCAAATAATATTTCACGATTAACACAATACATCAGCAGAAATAGCTGATATTATTTATTAAAAATTTACAAAGAGATATCATTAAGAAACATGCTATTATTACTACTAATACTAGTCGGACCTAGATCACCTTACAAAATATTCCAAAATTACTATTCTATATTTTGCAAGCGATAAATAAAAGTCATCGACATAGGAGATAAATATTTTGTTTATTTTCGTAGTTCGAGCTCACTGCCCGGTTGCTTGGTTTAATGGTCGACCTAGTTTTAAGTGGTTAATAGAGTTCATAGACATCAAAACGTGTCGTTACCTACTTTGGTCGGAGTCTCAAACGAATTGTATGGTACCTGTCGCACCCTTCAAATTACGTTTGACAACTTCGCGGCAGAAATTGACTCTATTTATTTAATTTTTTTTGGTGCTTAGGTGAGTGGACGAGCACACAGGCCACCTGGTGTTAAGTGGTTACTGGAGCCCATAGACATCTACAACGTAAATGCGCCACCCACCTTGAGATATAAGTTCTAAGGTTTCAGTACGGCTGCCCCACCCTTCAAGCCGAAACGCATTACTGCTTCACGGCAGAAATAAGCAGGGTGGTGGTACCTACCCGCGCGGACTGACAAGGGTCCTACCATCAGTAATTACGCAAATTATAATTTCGCGGGTTTTGATTTTTATTACACAATGTTATTCCTTCACCGTGGAAGTCAATCGTGAACATTTGATGAGTACGTATTTCGTTAGAAAAATTTGTACCGACCTGCACCGGACGTCTTATCCTTTAGGCCACGACGACTTCAAACCCAGCCCAGTCATGCCCAGCTCGGCTATGCCCAGCCCGTAATTAGCCGATTTTATTTTTATGGGATTTAATTATTATTTTTTTATCCTACCTATGCTGATAGCCTTGAGAAGCTATTTCAGCTTCGCCTTGACGTATAGGTGAGCTCACGGAGTTTAAACCAAAAGTGTTGCTTACACTGGTTCTAGTAGCAGGGCTAGCAGGGCTTCGCAGAATCTACCACCGGATCAGAAACGCGACCCACTGAGAAGATCAGAGATCAGGTGAGACACTCAGTGGGCTGTATCTACTCAGTGGGTTAATTTACTTGTCGAGCCCTTTGTCGCAAGCGACGGGTTCGATGAGAACGGTGACCGGTGCTTGAGGTATCTAAAAGCACCGTTAGTGGATCGGGAGGATCCGTAATGACGTGCTTAGGGCGACGTCGACTGTTTACCATTCGTTCCACAGGATCGGGTATAATAATTTTTGTTACATGTCAACTAAGTGTCCAGTAGGTTTTAAAAAAAATGGTGCTCACCCGAAGAGGGGATAATAATATGGCCTAAAAGACCTTGGGTATGAAAGTAGAGTAATATAATTAGAGTGTGTCCTAAAAAGACTTTGATGAACTGTGTGATAGAGGATATCCAAGAGAAGGGTGGGTGTGTAGAGATGATGTGTGGTGGTCCTGAATGGAAAAAAGAAGGTTCAGGATCGTTAATAATTATATCAACGAGGTAATTAATTATATTACGTAACTAAAGCAGCACAAGATAAATGTAAAGTAAATAAAAGAGTTTAATTAAAATTTGAAAAGGCTCATGTAACAAGAAAAAAATATCTTTATTTTTCTCTTCGAATATCTTTTGATATGAATACAACGGCGAAGCTCCGTAACAATGGTTTTAAATTTCCGCCATTTCCCGCATAGTATAAAATAGCTGACATAAAATTTAAATGAACGATGAGGTAATTGTGTGTATGTTAATTTTAAAATTGTCATTCATCGGTGAACTGTGCTTCACCGAAGCTTCAGTGATGATGATGAAAATCGACATATTATATCAATCAGAATCGTGCTTTACTATTTATGGTTGGATTTTCAATTCTTGATCTAATAGTTTTTCTTTTCTCAATGATTTGACAATAAATTTGCTTTGAATGCTTTTTTTTATTACTTAAATGGGTGGACAAGCTCACAGCTCACCTATTGTTAAGTGGTTACTGGAGCTCATAGACATCTATAACGCAAATACTCCACCTACCTTGAGATATAAGTTCTAAGGTCTCAGTATAGTTACAGCGGCTGCCCCACCCTTCAAACCGAAACGCATTACATACTTCTTCACGGCAGAAATAGGCAGGGCGGTGGTACCTACCCGTGCGGACTGACAAAAGGTGCTAACACCAGTAGAGGTCCTACCACCAGTGAAACGATTGTCCTATATATGTAACGATTGTACTATATATAAGTATAGTAGTCCTAATAAAGTAATCCTTGCTTCGATGTCCTCAGATCGAGAACCGACTAAAAGCTTTTTTTTAGCTGTAGATGTTTACACGTATTCACAGCTCCTCTTGTTAATAAGTTACCGTAAATAATAGGAAACACAAATTGAATGCCGTGAAACGGCGATATGAATTTCAGCCCAATGAGCTTCTCGACGGATCTTCTCAGTTAGTCGTGATTCCTATCCGGTTGTAGATTCAGCGAAGCACTGTTTTTGCTAGGGCTAGTCTTAGTGAAATCTCTCAGGTTAAGCCCGTGAGCTCAACTAAGCACTCGGTTGTAGCTGGCTACCTTAAGCTACCAGCGAATAGGCAGGAAAAAAGGGAAAGGTCATGAGGTTGTCTTAGCTACATAGTATAACATGAACTTTGCATAATATCGAATCTTTTTAAAAACTTAAGCTTTATTCATCTTACTTTAAAGGACTCTCTTTATGCGACTCTCCTCGCCTGTTCTCGATTCCGTGGACAGCACGCCGGACTAACTTATCCATTCTGAAGGAGCTCGGAATTACGAAAAGGCTGTCCGCTATCTGCTTCCAACGTATTTCGG